CCCCCCATCCGATCCATCCGAAAAATACAGATGCGGACAGCTGTCAAACACTATAGGTGACCCAGAGCGCGGCTGCAGCGCTTCCGCTCGATGACCTACTCAGCTCCATCCCTACTATGAAGCTCCTGACTCTATACTTTTCCTATCCCCATGCAGTGTATATGACTCTTTATGCAGTGGAGGATTGGTCAATAGGGCAAAGATTTATTCGGGTAGCAGAGCAAGCGGCACACCCGGCAGGATCGGGCCCCAAATGAAACCAGATTTTTTCCCTGCCGGATCTGACAGTCATGCCGGACATGCCGCTCTGCCCGGCATCGCTGCAAATGGTACGTGTAATATGTATTTCTATTGTGTACAGATACCTAATGATATATACACCTACTACATTAGACTAATACCAGTACTTCAGAATTTATTATCGGCACTATCGGCACCTAGCCGGCAGCCGTGACGGTTGTATGGGCTGGGGAGCTGCGTCCGCACGGATCCGCATCTCCGTTACCAACGCTGCCGGACAGCATCCGCATCTCCGGTCTCATCGGCAGCAACAGCAATATAGGATCGGAGGAGGTGGTGGTGGTGGTCAAAGAAGATGTGCAAAGATGACGACTCGAACACAGCACAGCGGCCAAGTCTGATGGCACGTGGCTGGGTTGAACCAACCATGTCGAGGCTTCCGAGATTGCTTCTCTGAAGTCAATGGCAACTTGGACTCTGCTCAAGGTGGGTTTAGCCAAGGCTTAAGCAAAATTATGATGGCTTAGAATTGCCTGAGCCCCTTTGAGCGGCTGTGGGGTCTTGATTAGAGCCCTCGTACGCCGTCGATTAGGAGATTTGGCGATTAGAAGCCATGAGGCAGGCTAAGGCGGGTTTTTGTGTGAGCAGGCCGTTATCTCGCTTAAGGACAGTTTTAGCACCAAGCCGGTTTCCTGATGTGAGGAGGGCGAGTGCAGCGTGGCTATGCTCAGCAAGTACTGGTGATGTGTCTTAACGTGTGAAGTGTCTATGCATTCAGTGCAAAAAAGCGCACTATATTCTCCCCCTTACTGAGATCTTGACCCCCTGGTCAAGTCAGTCTGATGCAGAGAGGTGTGGGTGCGTCGGGGCAGAGTTTGTGTAAAAGGAACAGATAAGTGGAGAACAAGCAGTTGATGGAAGCAGATGGCGAAATTGTGATAGCAGCCTGGTGCAGCTGGCAGAACACTATAGATCCCTGTGTTGACTAAAGGTGCGTGCTCAGTTATCTGAACCATGTTGAATGCTGAGGCTGATGAAGTTTCTCACGACACCCTTTCAAAGTATAAAGACTGCACAACCCATCTCTACAATCTGATCACGGGTCGAGGCTGGGACACGTCAAAGCCACTGGACCACAGGTGCCTGTTTATGCTTGTGTGGTCATACACTCTCATGATTGTCTGTCTTGTCCTCCTGCTGGGGCATACCAAAACTGGCGGTAACACCCAGGATGCCCACGAGCACCTGAACGGCGGCAAGTTGCACCGCTTCAAGTGGCAGAAGCGCAAGGTCGGCACTATCCTCCTCAAAATGCTGCGTTACAAGCCGGGCCATCAAGAGATCTTTGAACCGTATACCGTGTGCTTCAGTGGGGCCCTGCGCGTCTCGTACGAAGACTACATGTGCATCCAGATGGACAATTTGGGTGTTCTTGAGTGGGTGGATGATGAAGCTTGTGAGTAATGTTGTTGGCAAAGCCTTGCCGTTTCACTAACAGCAGCTGCCGTGCCGCGGCGGAAGGTGGCGGAACCCGCCAGGGCACGGCGGAAGGGTGGCAGGCCTACAAAAAAATTAGTGAGTAGTGTAGAAGGTGTACCTATTAGTTCTGTGAAAAAAATAGGTGTTACAAGGCAGTATGTGGCCTACAAACACAGGAGTTGTGCCTTGAGCAAACACGTGTCTTGCTCTCGTCTCGGCTATTGCTGAGGCCGCCCGTATGGCTGTTATACTGTCCAATAAATCGGATGGCAAGAACCATACAGGTTGCATTGCCGACAAGCCGCTGGACACCTTGGACAAGTTTGATTCCGCATGTGGAGGTCACACCCTTCAAGCAACATGTTTATTTGTTCACTCCCATACAACCTGCTCTTGACATCCATGTCGCGCAGACCTGTATATGCCTTGTACTATACTCATTATACCCTGTGATGTGTCGACCATAGCCTCTGCCCATGCCTGGCACGCCTGTACCATTATTTCCATTGTGGCCTCACCCACCTATCCCATATCATCTAAAAGCTTCCACTCGTCCTCGACCTTAAGACAAGATTTTTAGTGCAATTCTCTCCTTCGTCCCACCGCCCATCTCGTCGACACCCTAAAGCCCTCCGCAGACAACTACTCTAGACATTCGATAGTAGCAAAATGGCTGATTGGAAGCAGCTCCTTAACTTTGTCGGTGCCTGCCATTTCGTGGGTTGTACTTGTTGTACCTTCAAAGAGTTTATCCCGCCTCCCAATGCGAGTGACAAAACCCCGCCGCGCAATGTAGAGTACAGTACCTGTGGCCACAGTATTCTCTGGCATATGGAAGTATCCTCAGGTGCTAAGGTATGCCCTTTTGTGCCTATAATATAGATCTCGATCCTCACCTTCATTCAGGACAACCCTGTGCCTACTGCGAACAGCAGTCCTACTGCCAATCAGCTGCCTGTACATTAACCACCAAATACGAGACTCCCATCATGGCCCATGTGCTCATAATCTTTTTTCACCAGTCCGAATCCGCGAAGTCGTCATCGATCAATTCCAAACCCGCCCCAACCACTCCTGGTCCCATGCCGACTGGCACCAAGTGCCCGTTCATGGCTCATGCAGAGAAGTGCTATGAGTTGGCGAATCCCTCTGTTCGCGAGGCCGTTGAGCGCGAGGCGGCCGAGCACAAACGTGAGCACCAGCAGTGCCACAAGTCTGATGCGGCCATGAGTTCGCAGCCCACGGCCAAGGCTGATGCCCGCACGCATCTCAATTCAGCCTTTCACCCTGCACTGAAGGTCGGTGACTCTCCTCATACATCGTGTCATGCCACTCACCTTTACTGCAGCAACAGGAAAAAGACCATGCCTCGAAACCTGGTAGGGAGAAACATCGCGGCAAGGGTGCTAGGGCCGCACTTAGGGAAGATCTCCGAGCCGCGCTATTGGCACTCAGACGGACAGACAGACAGATGCCAAGTGCTTAAACCCAGTGACAACACGAGGGTACACAATGGCAGAGACAGAGGAGACAGAGGAGAACACTACAGAGGGTAGATTGCAAGGTGGACAAACTAAAGGAGCTTAGGTACATGGGGGAAGAGTCTTATATACAGGTCAAGGTAGTGCGGGAACGGGATAACGAAGACAGACAAGCAAGTGGATGACTGAGCGAGCCGGGCCCTGCTGACAAGGGAAGGGTGTGTAAGCAGGCCAAGTCACACGTGAACGGTGTGAGTCATGCGAGTCCGGGATCCATGTGCCAGAATGCCGAGATACCGAGATGCTGAGATAGAAAAGATAAGAAAAAGAAAAAGAATAAAGATATTGCTGGGTCACGTGACGGCTGAACCATGGCAAAGGGTGGTTCTAAGAAGAAGGCCGACAATACACCCAAGACTATCAAAATTGGTGCTTCTACCCCATACTGCCCATGCTCACTGCAACTTGTACAAGGATGGCCGCTATCTTGTTTATAAGAAGCCGAGCCCCTCAGAGTATGTTGACTTACTCTTCCATGCCGTGCCTCGATCTGACAAAGCGATCAGATTGAATGGCTTGAGGATGGAGGGCTTGGTCCACAAGATCTTGCTTCCTCACAACGTGAGTACGCACGAGATTGATAACCTCGTCATCGGTGCCTTCAAACACCACCCTGCATTCATCTCCGCCCTCGTGAACGTGATGTCTATAAATCCTTACCGCCGGGCCTGGGTTCCCATGATCGTGACCAGTACAGGCGGCCAGGGTGTAACACGGACCTTGTCGACTCACCCCAAATTCACTCAGTACGACAAGGACGACCTCGTAACCCACGATGGCTTCTTGCAGTCAGTCGAGCTTGTTCGTTCATCTTATCTGCACTTAATTGACATATATCTTGCAGGTGTACAGCTGATGTGTGCCCATGAACCATCTCGCGCAAGCTGGCTGGGACTTGGGCAAAGACCATGGTCTTCATTGCCTTGCACTTAGGCTCGCAAAATCTTCCAACGAGGTCACCCCACCCTGCGGAACCGGACACGGATCTTGAGGACAACGAGGACAACGAGGTATTCTTCAAATTTGCTTAATGCCCACTCTTTCATTGACAAACTGGTTAGGGCTCGGACAACGATTCGTCTACACACATGCCCGAGGATCCCTTGCCAGACTTGAGCATGCCGGAGCCTACTTCGTCGTTTGACACCACCCCCGCTGCCCAGTTCGGTGGATCGAGCCCGTTCTCTCATGACGTCTCCTTTCCATCGGACCCTTTGTTTGCTTCTGCAACAAGTGGCGCTTTTGATTTTGGCGGTGAGACTTGGACCTCCAGCTCAGTAAGCCTCACACATATATTGTATCTGGCATGCCACCTGATTAAGTGCTTGCAGGGACTCGGTTTGAATGGGGTACCTTCCGGTGGACACGGTACAACCTTCAATCCTTCAACCGTAAGTATGCGGATTTGCATCAGCCTGCCCAGTCTGATGCCTCTCAGGATTTTGGCTCTACAAGCGATAACAGAGCATCTTCTTCTACTCCGAGGGCGGTTAGCTTTGATTCATTGCCCTCCGTGTTCATAGCTGAGGGCTTGACTACTAGAACCTGTCCACGCCTAACATACCGTCGGAGAATGCAGACTCGGCACATCGTTCCATATGTTTCCAAGCTCATCTCCTGCTTGTCCCCTTCTAAATATTGTGCAGTTATTCTCTCTGACTCCGAGCCATGTACCAGGTACTGCCGGTGCCGCAAAGGTGACCATCTTATTTGTTTGCATCTATCATCGTCTCATATATTCCGGATAGACTGAATTGCCTGCGGGTGATGACTTCTTCGAGGACAAGCGCCGCCGGTTTCCGCCTGCTGCCGATCCCCTTGCATCTGTAGCGCGAGCAATCACAACTATCCAGGCTCCTGGCCAGTCGGCGTCATGGGTATGTTTACTTTGTGTCCACCTCTCAATTCTCATTCTCATCCTTGCATCAGTGGCCCAATCAGGCGCTCGGTCTCTACAAATCCGTCAGCCAAGAAGAACAGTTCTGTCAGATGTCCCTGGGCATTGAGGATGGCAGTTCGCCTCTCACCAACATGTACCTCAACTCATCTTCTGCCTCTGCCCTCTGGGACTCGTCGGCCGAGCGCATACTCACTTGGCTCATGTCATTGCTGACATTGCCAAATGAGGTTGCCAACATTAGAGTTTCCGATGACAATGTTGTTGATGTTCCGCCTTTGATGGCATTTGGTCCTTTTCGCCTGGATCTTGTCGTTTCCTTACTAGCGATGCTCACCGCTGCTGCGCTTTCCCACGTCCTGAGGTCGGAAGCACTTACCTGCATGCAACGACTTGAGTGCTATATCAACACACTCCACGATGTGGTGACTGGCTTCAAGACGTGTGTCCTGCGTCATGTCTTCGACCTCCCGGCATTTTGTCCACTCGAGAAATTCTTTTGCAATATTCACAAAAATCCACAGGCCCAATACACGGTGCGTTTCTTGACATTAGCCAAGACTTTCTGGTATTGACATACCCACTAGGACTCAGTTCCGGCAGACTGGAACAAGCTTAGGGAGAAGGACAACTTTGCTCATCTCGTTCTGACTGAGAACACCGACATCCTCCTTCGCGATCTTGCCAATGACTATGGCTACATTCGTGGTGGCGATACACCAGCTGATTCATCTGTGTCTCCTCACTGCCTTCTGGTTGGGGACCATGGTCCTGAGCGCCTTCTTAATGAGCTTATATTTCCCTTTCTTGACGAGTACAATAAAGCAATGCCTGGTCACAAGCTCATTCTGAGTATACTCGAGGATCTTGCTGGGGTCTTGTACCATGGTTTCTCTACCTTCAAGAAGGTTCGTTGCAGTACTCCGCTCAATACATGTCCATTGTTGTTCTAAACATGAGCTGCAGTCTACCGGGAAGTAGGCATCCAGCCCAAGCACTACTGGTAGCAAGGTGCACCGCTCTTTTTTCTTATCAACGTAGATCTGTGCTAATCCTGTTTTTCAGTCAACTCGCTCCAATGCTCTGTTGGCTCCTACATCCACGGATCATGTGCCCCCGCCGCCCACATCTCGGAGCAAACACAAGAAACCTAAATCGGACAGTGATTCCGATCTGACAGATCTTGATGAATCTCCTAGTGGCTCAGACGACTCTGACAGCTCTGATGATGAGCCCGCCCATCCAAAGCAGGGTACCGGCGGATTGGTGCGGACTCTCCCTTATCATGTTGTATTTATGTTCCTGACATTCCCCGTAGAGCCACCGCCCACCGCCGAAGAAGAAGTCTGCACCATCTACAGAGGTTAGCATATGCGTATCCGTTCATGTACAACACTCATATCACCATCTCAGGATATCAATCCCCCAAGGCCAGGTGCTTGTACTCGTTCGCAAGGCAAGACTAAATCAGCAAATGGTATTATTAACATCATTGCGAGAAACTCCCCACACTGACGGAGAGCACAGGTGGTAAAGACAAGGAGACTGGAAGTTCACACAAGGACCCATCCTCAAATGGCGCACATTCACATCCTGGTACCAAACCCGCTGGTCAGTAAATGCTGTCCCTCTTGTCTGTCAAGCTTTGTCACTCAACATTACGCAGGCAAGACCAAGCAACATTGGCACACGGGCACTGGTGGTGCAGACAATCCCCTCGACCTTGGTCCTGATTTTGACTCTTCCAATGATGAGCACATCAAGGCAGCAGCTCAGGAGTATGCGAAGAGGAATTTGCAAGGGGAAGATCCCTTCTCCCGCCCTCCCAAGCGCTCGCGTACGGAGCCTTCCCACAGCAACACTCATGCCCCCGGCGGAAAGCATGACTTCACTTATGCACCAAACTCTCCTCAGCCTCCCAAGTCGGAAGCACCCTCATCATCTCGCCCAACCAAGCCTTCCACGTCAAACACCCAGCCTCACGATGGCACTACCACCCCTGCAGTACCACCCACATCTAGTGTTGGCAGCACTTCGATGGCTGGTGCAACTGCAGCACCTCGGCTCTCTCTCGAGGAGTAGCTTGGCCTCCAGTGGGCCCAGAAGTTGGAACATTGCATTGAGTCTTTGACATTCACCGAGCTTGTCGAGCGCATTAACTCCGCCTTTGGCGACGGTCGCCCGTATTCTGCGCAGCTCGGTTCAACATCTCCTTTGCCCAAAGGTTTCATGGACCTGACGTTCAAGAGGCAAGCACGTGTCCTCCTATTGGTCTGTATCTCAATTTATTATCTGTCTGGCAGTCTTCTGATACGCTTTCAGATCTTCCATCCTGATAAGTGCAGGACATGGACGCAGTTGGATACCTGGAGAATGATTGCTGAGATAGTTACCCACTGCATAGCAGCTAAGAAGGATACATGGCCTGATGACTGGGGTCTGCACCACGACGAGTAGTCTGTGTTAACCATCTTTTGACGTCATGCGTCACACTAGGCCACTGCTTTCCTGTATACAATTTGATTACCAACATGTAGCCTTCCACTCTATGTACTGCTTGGGTGGGACTCCGCATGGCCCAACTTATGCGCCCGCGAGGCCCGCCCACCCGGGACTGTTCTTCCTGTATTTACCAGGGACAGTACCCGAGATCTAACTCATGTTGCGCACCCGACACGTTCCCCCTAGTCTCGACATGTGCTCGCCTGTATGAGAGAATGCGCAAGAGGCGCGCTAAGCGCCCATCGTGGCCGTGTTCCCAGTATAGGAAAGCCACACCTGACCTACTTCTAGCCCAATCCATCTATGGGAACAGGTAGAGCACCAGGGGGAGGAGGAGAAGGAGGAGGGGGGAAGTGAAGGCTGGCATTCCAGAACTCGGGCCCGGAGCGCTAAGGTAAGCTTACCATTGTATTTGGCGTATTCAAGAGTCCCTACGCACCGCTTAACAGCCCAGGAATCGGCCAGGAACTGGGGAAGCGCGAGCATTTTAGGGGGGAGGAGGAGGAGAAGGGTGCGGAGACCGCCGGGTCAGAACGGCTGCAAACACTGGGATTCTGAGCTCACCAGTGATATGCCAGTATCGTATAACCCTAGTGCACATACCTATGTCATAGTAGAAGCACAAAGTGGCGTACAGTCGTTGGCCACCCCAAACAAGCCTGCCAGCTAGCTGCCTGTTTAGCCCATATTTATTGTGAACAGTACCTGAGATCTAATGGGGTCCATTTTGCAATGTAGATACCTGTCCTATACTCACCTGGTACAGTGGCTTGTGCTCAGAATTGAAGCCTCGAATTGTACAACAATACTCGGCAAACTCATGCAGCTCGTGCGCAAAGCGACTCGGTCAACTCGCCCGAAGCTGTTCCTTCCGTAATTATTGAGAGCAGTACCCGAGATCTAATGGGGTGTGTTCTGTGATGTAGATACCTGTACTGTACTCACCTAGCATAGTGGCTTGTGCATACAATTGAAGCCTTGAACTGTACAATTATTCTCGACAGCGCAAAACACGGAACACCTGTGCCATGTCTGCCACGCGTTCGTCGCACTTCGTGTGTGGCATGTTCGAACTTCGCGAGCATTGTTGCTCACGATTTACCACCACGACTTTTCTGCACTTGCAGCTCTTCAACTGATTCTCAAAATGCCGGAGTACCATGAGGTTTAACTGATGGTTCGGTCTTTGGGCCGTGGCTGTTCATCAAATGTTGTAAACCATGGCTAAGGGGAAAAACTGTTGTGCTTTTAGCAGTGGCAAAAGGCCTTGTTGTTGTAGAACGATGGGGCCATGGCA